TAAAAATTACTTTAGTAATTATAATTTATGATATTTGTTAACTTTAGAAAAAAGGTGTAATTTTTAATTTATAGAAAAAAAAGTAACTGATTTTTAAACTAAGTTAAGTTACTGTTATTTTCAAGTTAACAAAATTTAAAAAAGTAAAWGTTACTTTTAACTTTAAGCTTAGTTTACATTTCTAGATTAATTTAAGTTAATAAGTTTAAAAAATACCGGCGGTCTAAAAATTATCAATACCTAATTATTATTATACGGACGCCAGCGGCCGCATGGCAGTCAACGTGTTAAATACCATCATTGTAATCCAGTGGTAAAGTACACATGACAAGATAGCCAGTGTGTTTATAAGTATATTATAAGATAGTGTATAACTATATGAGTTTTTAACATACTTGGGGAATAGCAATTAATGGAAGCTCATCATTATTTCCACAATCTTTTTCAGAATATAATGAAATCCAAATAAGTGACCAAACAATACCAATTGAACCAAACAAATAAAAGCTAGTTTGCCACATTAAATGTGGGCATATCTAGAAAAGAAAAGTTATTTTCATTAATATGTATGTATAAGTAACAGTTAATAAGATTCATAATATATATATATATATAGAGTAAAGTATAGAAAATATATACCAAATGTTTATTTCTTACAGCACCCGAGTAATTTATACATTATTTATTCTGAATACAATTTACTAGAAAATAATGATAGTATATAGATAACTGCATGCGTTTTCACASACAACTGTCTGTGAAAACGCATGTAATAAGATCTATACAAATTTGTAAAATATTAATCATAATATATTACAGTGATATCTGTTTTCACATACAAATATTCATTAATTTATCAAACTCAGTTGTCAAACATTAAGTAAATAGTTTACATATTGCCCAGATAAGGTAAANTATTTTAAATAATTAAAACTTACCAATACCAAAAACTGAATTGAATATATACGGAACAGCTGTTAAACTAATACTATGTGAATTAGCACCAAGGTAACGCAAATACGTGGGTAGCCAATGCATTATTATGTAGTTGGACCAATTCATAGTAAAGTGAGCTATATATATCGCCCATAGGGGCCAATGTATAAAGAATTTCCTCCAATGTATACTAGAATACTATATAACAAATAATAAGTTGTAAATAAACATTTATTAGTTTTTAATATAAATTATTTTTGATAAGGAGATTGGGTACTGATATTTTAGTCTTGACTTATTGGCTTTTACACAAATAATATATTAAACAAATTAAAAGCTACCCATTCAACATCCATCAGAACCATTTATATACAGAACTGATAAATATTATAAAAACAGATTTGAATYTAGTGTTGAGAGTATATAAGATAAATTAATGATTATTTTTTTTAAATCAAATATTTGGAAATTCTAGAAATTCAGGACTGAATTCAAATCCGTTTTCATAATATTTATCACATCTACATATACATAGATTATACTGACAGACACAAAATCTTTACTTTTTAATATGTTTCAAATGTGAAAGACGCCAAAGACGGTCAGCAAATATTAGTACCTATTAACTAATATATTAATATGCAAGGCTGGGCATTAATCAGTAAAAAGTTAGATATAAATTACTTTTAACTAAATTATGAGTTATTTTTTTTTTAAGATGTAACTTTTAATTTAAAGAGTTAAATGTTTTTCTATGTCATAAAGTACTTATGAGTCAATTAATTAATAAATAGGTTAATTTATTTTATTTTTTAAAACTACACATTAAAAATAKGTATATTCTATTTTATCTAAAAAAATAATAATAATAATCAAATATTATTTATAAATAAAATAATTTGTATTA